ATATTTGTGCTGGTTAAGGAAGAAGCCCTTGTGAGATGTAGCCATTTCGATGCCAAGGAAGTATCTCAGAACACCAAGATCTTTTATTGCAAAGCGTTGCTGAAGGGAGTGCTTGAGTTCTTTGATTTCTTCAGGGTTATCTCCGGTGATGATCAAGTCATCAACATACACAAGAACAACCAATGTACTAGCGGTGCCTAAGCGTACAAATAAAGAGGAGTCCGCATTGCTTCTTCCAAAACCAACACTGATAAGGACTGAACTGAGCTTAGCATACCAGGCTCTCAGTGATTGTTTAAGACCATAAATTGATTTGTGCAGTTTACACACAACATCCTGTTTATGACTTTGAGAGTAACCCGGTGGTAATCTCATGTAGACGTCTTCTTCAAGCTCACCATGTAAGAAGGCGTTTTTTACATCCATTTGATACATAGGCCATCCTTTGTTGACAGCCACAGACAAGAGTACGCGCACTGTGTTCATCTTTGCAACGGGGGCAAAGGTTTCCTTGTAATCCACATCAAATGTTTGAGTGAAGCCACGGGCCACTAATCGTGCCTTGTGTCTTTCAATAGACCCATCCGAGTTGAATTTAATCTTGTATATCCACCTGCAGCCTACTATCTTCTTTCCTTTGGGCAGTGGCACAATGCTCCAGGTTTTATGTTGATCGAGTGCATGCAGTTCATCCTGCATTGCTTGCTGCCACACTTGGGATTGGTTAGCTTCTTGAAATGATTGAGGTTCTTCATGCGCAGATATATTACTCAAATAGGCAGTGTAATTAGGTGACAACTTTTGATAAGAACAGTAGTTGGATAAGGGGTGCTTGAGCTTGTACGTAACAAAGTCTTGCAGTCTTGCTGGTGGGTGCCTCTCACGAGTTGGATTTCGTCGAGGTATGGTAGGAAGAGACTCTTCTGAAGGTTCTTCAGGACCAATACTACGTAGAGTTTCATCTTCTACAGGCATGTTGCTGTCGTCATATGAATCCGGTTGATTTGGAGCCACAAGATCCATTGTGTGAGTTTGATCACCCGCATTGTTGAGTATCTCAGTCCTTGGCAGTGGAAACATGTCCAAGATAATCTCCCCCTGACTTGTACTATCCAGAGACTTACTGTAATAAGAGTTAGTTTCATGAAATTGAACATCCTTTGAAACAATTAATCTCTTAAGTTGTAGATTATAACACTTATACCCTTTTTGTGTGGACGAGTAGCCAAGGAAAATGCATTTAGTTGCCCTAGGATCAAGTTTGCCTCGATGTAATGACTGAACATGAACAAAACAGATGCATCCAAAGACTTTAAGGTGAGACAAGTCCACCTTTCTGTTCTTGACTATCTCCATTGGGGATTTGAACCCCAAAACCCTACTAGGTAATCTGTTGATCAGGTAAGCTGCTGTCATGACGCTTTGAGACCAAAAACGTTTTGGTACATTCATTTGTAACATCAATGCCCTAGTTTTTTCAAGGAGATCTCGGTTTTTTCTCTCAGCAACACCATTTTGTTGGGGTGTGCCAACACAGCTAGTTTGATGTATGATGCCATTGTTGCTCAAATATTGAGTCATGACTTGGGACATGTATTCTGTGCCATTATCAGACCTTAGGGTTTTGATTTGAGAAGAAAAATGATTTTTGACAAGGTTGTGAAAGTCCTTAAACACTTCCATCACCTCACTTTTTGATTTTAACAAATATAACCAGGTGGCTCTTGAATAATCATCAACAAAAGTTATGAAATATTTATAACCATCAAAAGATTCATTTGTTGGTCCCCATATATCAGAGTGTACAAGCTCAAAAAGATGAGAAACTCTAGACATCGAAGACCCTAGAGGTAGTCTTGTTGCCTTTGACAAATGACAAGTTTCACAGTGGGTTGATTCTTTGCCTAAGTCAGGAAATAAGGTGGATAAGATAGGTTGAGATGGATGAGCTAGTCGTTGGTGCCACAAGGTGGAAGCTTGAATGGAGGTATGGATGGACTTTGACTTGGCATGGAACCCACAGGAAGAGCTTTTTGATATGTAATAGAGACCATCAAGGTAAAACCCCTCACCAATTGTCCTCTTGGTTATACAATCCTGAAAAATGACAGTTTTTGGTGAAAAAATGGCCAAACAATTTAAGGAATTTGTGATTCTTCCCACTAAGAGAAGTTGAAATGGAAATGATGGGACATATAGGGCCATAGACTCTATTTGATCAGATATCAGGTGGATTTTTCCCTTTCCTACAATCCTAGCACCTTCACCATTAGCAACAGATACATGTGAAGGATTATGTAGTTTCTCAAATCCATGTAACTTTGACATTTGATTAGTCATATGGTCTGTGGCACCAGAATCTACAACCTAAAAATCATGTAACTCATTTATTTTAAGAGTAGTTTGGAAAGCAGTTACGATACCTTTCAAGTCTGTCTGAGGTACATAATCAGCATCAGCTAAAAAACCTGCAAATTTGCCCATCAATGCAGTAGTACTTCCATCTTCATGATCAACCGATCCATCCTCTTTTCCCTTCTTTTGTTGGAGATACGATGCGAACTCATTTAAAAGGATGGCAGGATTTGCAGTGAACTGTTGATAGGTATCAACATTGTTGATAGATAAAGATGTTGCAGTGTTGGCACGAGGGTGTGCTCGACTTGTCTTTGGTGCGGATTTATCCTTCATGAAGTCAGGTTTGAGTTCTGGATGTAGGATCCAGCACTTGTCTCTCACATGCCCGATGTTGTCACAATGTAGGCACTTTAAATGAGGGTTTTTTCCTTTATATCTTTTTTCATTTGTCAGGTAAGCCCTAGCTTCTGTCACGTTGGTTTTTATACCATTGTTCATGACTTTTCTCCTTACTTCCTCACGTTGGATAGTTGCACAGATACTAGTGAAGGATGGTAGCTCCGAGTTCATGAGAATGTGACTTCTCAAATCCTCATATTTTGAGCTCAAGCTAGACAATAATTGAAAATTTTTATCTTCTTCAGTTCTTTTAAGGAGCACAGAGAGATCAGTTGTGTGAGGTCTGTACACATCTAACTCATTCCACATGCTTCTCAAAGAACCAAGATGTTGAACAAAGCTTTTACCTTCTTGCTGTATGTTGGAGATATCCTTCTTGAGTTGAAAGATGCGAGCTGCATTGTTTTGATTTCCATACATCTCCTTCACAGTGGTCCAAAGGATGAGAGACGACTCGGAATAGCTAAAGATTTCAGCAATATTCCTTTCCATAGAATTTAACAATCATGACATGACCAGTTGATCTTTACATAGCCACCCTCCATATTCTGGAGAAGAAGCATCTGGTGCAGGTTGACTGCCATTGATGAAACCGAGTTTGGATCTTCCACCGAGAGCAAGACTAACAGCCCTTGCCCATGGCAAATAATTAAACTCATTCAATAATACTGAACTGAGTCGTTGGTTTGGATTGATATCCATTTCAGAAGCGCTTCCAGATGAAGAAGCAATGATACTTCCATCTGCCATTGTTTTTGAAAAATAAACACAGCAGGTTCGATATACAGAACTGGCTCAGGATGATGCCCGCTCTGATACCATGTTGAATGTTTGATGTATTTTTCATATTTGAAACCATTACACGATGCAACATATATGGGAGAAGAAAAACGTGAAGAAGAAAGGAGGACCATGGCAGCTAAACCAACATAATGATGACCTCCAATCCCACTAATCTTAATCTATTATCTAACTTTAGCTTTACAGTGAAGAAGGGCCGAAAGCAATGGATAAAAACAATAGATGATGGAGGACCGAAAGCAACAGCTAAACACCAACAGCAGCTGAGCTGTTATCCACCCTACTTTTAATAATGACACATCCAATACAGAACGAACGAAAGCATGAGGCAAATAAGTGGATTTGGCAATTGACTGATCCTATCAACTCCCTGTAGACGCTTCGATTCCGAACCCATTGCTAAGTACACTGATCCTGATGGCTTATCAAAAAATTATTTGAGCAAGCTTCTTAATGTAACATTTCAAATACATAAAAAAAAAGGAGAATATTAATATACCCAATGCTTGGTTAAATACACACACACACACACACACACACACACATGCCCTTTATCCAAAGGGATCCTCATTCTTTGGTAAAAATGAGAATAGTTGTACGGCCCACCCTATATATATATATATATATATGACTGAATTTACCAAACAGATAGCAAGGAAGGCACAAAGTTATGAAGAAAAAATACCTGAGAAATGGTGGATGAAGCTGAGAAAATGAGAACCCATTCAGCATCACGAACGACAGCGTTTCACCATCTTTCTATAGCCAGCTGAGAATATAGGGTTTTACTCTCTCTTGCTCGAAATTGATTCGAATTTGAATTCAGCTTTACCCTCTCCAGATTTTGTCTTCTTCTAGTCTGCTCAGTTTCCGGCTTGCAGTTCTAGTTTTTTCCCTTTAGCATGTTGGTCTTTGGGCTTGCTTGTGTTGTTTGATCAGCTTTTGAGCCTTTTAATGAAATGCTAATCTATATTCGAACTGTTTCACGTGCTATGGCTTTTGTTCAAATTCCGAGTGCATTGCAGTCATCCAAACACAACGTTAGAAAGTTCAATTTGATGTCTCTATACTCGATTTGACTGACCGTAGTATTGGAAAAATATTTAGTATTGGAGTGTGGTCACGTGATAGTCCACGTGTTTAACATTGGTAGACTACTATCTAGTGGTATGCTCTCTCGCAAGCGGGCGATTGTGTATTTACTAAAATTTTATATGCACCAATGCACACTTATATTTGCTAACAAGACATTTCAGACTGAATGATCTCTCAACATTTAAGAAAATAAACATTGCTAGAAATTCCCAGAAACTCTGTTAGCAATTCCAGTAGCGGCAACAAAACTTATAAGATAGACAGACATATTCTAAATTTTAACCGCGAAGAATAAACATGTTCTAAAATTGTGGACTTCTCAAACATAAAATCCTTGAAACTGCATCCTAGATAAATTCAACTCGACAAGTCTTCGAACCCCATTTAAACGCACAAAGTTCCTTGTATACCAGCTTCTCTTGTTCATACCACTGCTCTCTAGGAATATGCATCCCGGGATAAATAGTAAGCTTCTTCAAAACGTCACTGTTCTTTAACAAATACTTTGCTACTTCCATCTCGTCCTGGCTTCCTTGAAATCCTCTCAAGGAGATAGTCTTGAGGTGTGACAACAAACAATCAGGCACAAGCTCTGGTGGATTCCATCGATCTTGTGAGTGCTCTGGGAATAGTTCTTTACAGCTGAAATACTGACAATTGCATATACACGTAATACCAAATTAAGAACGAATGAAATGAAAATTGTTAAAAGCTGCATGCTGGTACCATCACGAAGAATAAGGGGAAATACATCTTACTTGATCTCCTAAGGCAAGATATTCCAGTTTAGGTGATCTCTTGAGCAACTCAATTACCAACTCGCAGTAGTCGCCATCATAAAGAGTAAGTTCCAATTGGCTCACATTATTAAAAGCAGGAAGATCATGCACCTTCATTAAAAAAAAATGTTGATCAAACAGAAATTGAACATTTGCTTACCATTTCAATCAGAGAACAATTAATAATAACAACTAATGGGGTAAGAAAGGAAAATAAGGGGAATTCAATGGATGTTCTTTCGCAGCTCGATTATTAAGTTTAGAATATCAGGGAAGAAATGTAAGAACTGTCTTATGACAATTCAAGTTTATTAAATATTTTCATTCCAAATCAAATTCTAACAAACTGTAAATAAGTAGGAGCATATTTACCTTCAACAGTGAAGGCACGCCAGACAGAGAAAGATATTTTACATCTGAAAATTTTTCCAGGGATGGGGGTGCCCTGTTAGAAAATCCAAGACGTTTATCTGGAAGGCCCCAAAATTCATCTTCATCCGAATAGCTAGCATTGTCAGATGGAAATCTATCTTTGAAATCAATTTCAGCTCTGACGAGAGACACTGAACTCTCCAGAAAGTAACTTGACAAAACATTGTCACTGAGACAAAGATTTTCCAGCTTTGGGGCATTAATTAAGTACTTGGTCCAATGATGAGAACTCGGATGGTCCAGAGAAATTCTTAACATCTTCAATAAAGGTGCAGATATATAGAAATTCAAGACATCACGAAATCTTAAACTCAGATCTATACTCAATTCTTCAAGTATAGGACAACAAGAAAAAAAATTTCCCAGGGAAGTAAAGGAATCAGTGTCTGGCCAGACAACTGAAATAGAAAGGACCTTTAGACTCGGGAAACACCCTTTTGTAGGAGCATAGGTAATACAATTTGAATACACAGTCAAAACCACTAGGGTTTTAGACCTGAGAAGACTTTGAGGGATTTTGAATTCACGACTAGGCGTGTTACTGTCAAGGGTAAGATGAAGATCCAATTCAACAACATTACGCCTAACGGCAGTTCTAATCCATCTACCAATATGAGAGAAATCCTTAGCACCGAAATCCTGTTCACGCCTACAACAAAGAAGGAATTTTTGGATGTCTGATGAGCCATGAAAGGAAAGTGTACGATTAATAAAGTTCATAATGCGATTTTTGTCAACCCTATAAGTTTCAGGGAAATCGTCTTCATCAAAATTCAAATTGGGAACTGAAATCCATAAGTTCTTCCATCGTTTAGACAAAACAGTGGTCCATACAGCATATATAGTTGGAACGAACGAAAGTATGTGACAAAGAAGCGCATCTGGCAATTTACTGATCCTATCAACTCCTTGATGCTTTGAATTCGATTCCATTTATACCCTGGTGGTTTTCAGAAAAAATAGTTGGTTAAAATTGCAATCATTGCTGTAGATTAGAAGCTAAGAAGCTAGGTTTTATATATCCTAGGTAAAATTTCATACATGGTTATCCAAATACATGTACACTTCAAAATTATTAAAAGAAGGATTGAATTTTCTCAGCAAAATTTTGTGAAGATTTCTGATGTAACAAACTGAATTGTCAAGGGAATAATAACCACAACAACTTTGCAGAGGCTATATATAATACATAATTAGAAAATAAAAATTGGGGATTGTGTCTTTCTCAAGAGATATCGAGACCAAGAACACAAAGGCAAGAGCTTAAATATTTTCTCAATTTTCTTGGTAAGCAAATAGATGGTAAGAAGTGAAAAGTTACGAGGAAATTACCTGATAAGAGACTCAAAGATGGTCCAGCACGACGATGCCAGCGCAGGGAAAATCACTGATAATTATCTGCTGAGAAATGGTGGGAAAATGCTAAGGTTTTGTTTTCCTACTTCTCTCCTTATAGCACATCGCTTTTCAGTTTTGAAAATCTAGCATTCAAAATTTAAAATTACGTTTTTTCGTTTTTTATCTAATTTTTATTTTTAATACAACAATATTTTAATATATTAGGTAAGAATTAATACGGAAATATTTTAAATTTGATTAATTGATTGTGTGCGTATGATTTGGAATTGTAATTGATCATGTAGGGATTGATTTGGAAAGAGATTTTAAATTACAAAAACGATTTCATGTATATCTTGATTTTAATTGATTGTGTGCCTATGATTTGGAATTGTAATTCATGTAGAAATTGATTGGGAAAGATATTTGAATTTCAAAAAAAAAAAAAGGGATTTAATGTATATCTACTTCGTATCATTGAAGTTAATACATAGTTTCCCTCTAAATTTATCTAAGCTCTCTCCATTTTCTTGATGTAAAAAATTTAAACAAAATAGATAACCTATTCTATACCACAACAAATCCTATACCTAGCCTATGGGGCTGTATTCAATTTAGATTTTGAGAGATTTTTATTCTTTTAATGAATCTAGAAGTATTCAATCAGGAGTTTAAATGATTATCTGAAATTCAATGTGTATTTAATCAAGATTTTAAGATAGTTTATTAAAATCCTTATAAATCTGGGTGCATTCAATTGAGATTTAAAAAAAAAAAATTATAACTTTCCACGTGTATTCATTTAGAATTTGATTTTAAAGAAAAATTGAGAAATTAGAGGGAATTAGAGAGATTTTGTAGTTTATTTTAAGCATCCACAAATCTCACATCTCTCCATGAGATTTCGAGAGAATTGAATCAACATTTTACATAAAATCTCTACAAATCAATTAAACTCTATAAAAATTCATTTATTTATAAATCCATTAAAATCTCTGTAATTCCCAATTGAATACACCCCTCTAAGTTTTGTAGAACAAAAAATTGATATTTTTTGTCATTTAGTACTACGATCTAGTGGTATTCCTTTCCGCTACTTGTAAGTGAGAGGTTTTAGGTTCGATTCTCGTCAAAGGCAAATTTGAACTACATGATTACTAATCCATTGTAAGACTAAGCCCACCTCCTCCCTTTTAGTTTAGATAATATCGTTTGTTTAAAAAAAAAATAATGATATTTCTTGTGTTTTTCATTAATAGTTATCAAAATAAGATATGCATTATAGAACACAATTAGAGTTTTAATAAATAAAAAAATTAAATTACATATGTCATCACTAACACGATACTCACCATTGCCACCACCAGGTCCACCACAACATCCACTACCTCACCATCATCACCACCATTGCCACCATCTTTGACACAACTGCCATCGCCACCACCACCACATCATTCACCATTGTCTCACCATCATCACCACCATCGCACACCATCTTAGACACCACCACCACCACTATCTCACAATTATAAAACACAATTAGAGTTTAATAACAAATAAAATTATGTATGTCATCAATAACGCTATATTGACCATTGCCACCAACACAACATTCAATATCTCACCATCATCGCCATCACTGCCACCATCTTTGACACAACTGCCATCACCACCACCACCACAACATTCGCCACTGTCTCATCATCACCACCCACCACCGCACACCATCTTTGACACCACCACTACCGCTATCGCCGCCATAATCATCGCCAACATGTCCACCACCACCTTCACTGTCTCACCATCACCACAACTGATACCCCAACCACCATCGTCGCCACCACCATATCTTCCACTGGCATAACCCTCGCCACCATGTCCATCACCACCTCCACTGTCTCACCATAGCCACAACTGACACCAACACCACCTGCATAGCCACCGCCACTAACATCACAAACCACCAACATATTATCCACCGCCATCACCCCCCGCCACCACTAACACCACCAACCACTTGTTGGATTTTAGAGCATATTATTGGGATAAACTAAATTTGAATAATTAAATATGCATGAAAAAATAATAAATAGCATACAATATGTTATCCTGATTATATATCATGTTGGTTATAATTAATATATAAAGCAACAAATTTAAATAAAGATGGCGGAGAGATACTTACTTGAATCCTTAGTCATGAACATGCCGCTTGACTAGAGCATCCACATGCTCGCGATCTTCCTCCTTATAATTGATCATGTGAAGCTTCTCAATTGTTGAGCCTTTAAGAATATCCACACTAATAAACTAGCAACATATGATGAGGCCGATTAATTCAAATGTGCTAGCAGTATCTCTCACTTTGATCAATATGGTTTGGGCGGCACTAATTAAGGTGTTTTTGGATTAGGATTTTGAGGGACAAAACTAATTGCACTTAGCATATGAGAGAGAAAACACAAGGGATACACACACATATGCCCCCTTGCTGCACCTCTCCTTAAGCTTTGACGCCATGCGCTTTGTTCCATTCATCAAGCCCAATCACTTGTTTATTCGAGCTTGTGAATTGGACCCCTTTAAATTAAATAAAGCGTAAAGCCTATTTAATTAAAACCATGTCCAATATGCTCAAATAATTAATCTAATTTAATTAATTATATATGATCATCATCCAAGTTAATGCTGCCAGAACTACGATAGTGTGTGGCCTCTTAGAGCATCTCTAAAAAAGATGTCAAAATGTCCAAATTAGCAATAACGATAATAAAAGACAGTAATAATATTTTCCAACCGAGAAGCCAAATCTCATGTGGCATGACATGGAAATACATCTCTTCCCCTTGTTGCCAAATTTGACAGTGCCTTCAAAAAAAAAAATTTAATTAATTATTAAATGCTTTTTATTGATTTAAAGCACTGCCTTTTTGTTTCTTTTCATTACCGATGCTATATTTTAATATTTTTATACCTTTTAATTCTTTTTCTTTCATTCCCAATGCAAAGAAAATAAATATAATTTTTTGTTTTATGTTTAAAATTTGGCATGTCGGGTGGAGAGTAAAAATTTAAAAGATGTCAGAGTGCCATATAAGCTTTCAAATTTAAAGTTTAGGTTTAAATTTGACATCTCCTTTAGAGATGAGTTTAGATTCTAACTAAAGCCGGCAGTAAAATTTAATTAATGAATTATTTTATTTCAACAAACCATGAGTGACACCTAACAACATTTAATGGCTACCCAAATTAGTAAAATTATACACGAACTAATCCTTATACTTTTTTGAACCTTGATTATAGTTACAATGTAAGAGGAGCACAATATGGGAATTAAGAAAACTAAGAACTAAAAACCAAATGATTATCAAATGGTTTCTCGAAGTCGGGAGCATAATACTAGTCATTATCGATTCAGCGTGGAAGATATGCAGGAATGGAATAACCATTGCTTCGTTTCGTTCATCAATATTTTACCTGTGGAAGCCCGCTCTAAACAGAAACATATAGGACCCAGGTTCTATGAAAGACCAAAAGAAAGCAACTTGTCTTCTGACATTTGATTTTCCTTTACATTGTTGAAAGTATGAAGAAATTTAATCATAATTTTTCTCCAATGATCACTGCTTTCCTAGATCGCTACATATATAGGAAGAAGGGAAAATAACAGTTAAGTGAAATTGCACATTCTCCATTGCAAATACATGAAGTGAAAACTGAATAACCACCATAACCGAATCACTCCATAGTTGAAGAAGATAAACAGAGTTGACAAGACAATTCAACAGAAGAAAACAACCGATTGCAAACAGATTCATCTTGGACAAACAAAATGATGATTTCACAACTTTATAAACAGTTTAATCTCTTGAGAAACTCCGTTAGCAATTCCAAGTAGCGGCAATAAACTAGAAAGACAGAGAACTTTTAACAGCGAAGGTGAAACATATCGTAAAATCGTAGAATTCGCAAAAAATAAATCCTTATTAAACCTAAAATCGTATCCTAGATAAGTTCAACTCGACGAGTCTTTGAACCCCATCTAACCGTACAAAGTTCCTTGTATACCACCGTCTCTTGTTCATACCATTGACCTCTAGGAATATCCCTCCAGGGATAACTAGTAAGCTTCTTCAAAACTTTGCTGTTCTTTAACAAATACTTGGCTACTTCCATCTCCTCCTGGCTTCCCAGAAATCCGCTCAAGGAGGTAGTTAAGAGGTGCTACAACAAGCAATCAGGCACATGCTCCGGCGGACTCCATTGATCCTTTGAGTGCTTTGAGAATACTTCCATGCAACTGGAATACTAACAAGTTCATACACACGTATACCAAATTAAGAACGCATGAAATGAGAATCGTTAAAAGCTGCATGATGATATCACACTAAATAAGTAGAAATACATCTTACTTGATTTCCTAAAACAAGATACTCCAGCATAGGTGATCTCTTGAGCAACTCGTTTAGCAATTCCCCATACGCGCTGCCATAAAGAACCAGCTCCAATTGCCTCAAATTATCAAAAGCACGAAGATCACACCCCTTCATTAAGAAAATTTTGGTCAACCATAAATTCATACAGAAATTGAACAT